CACAAAATCGAAAAAATATCACATATAAAGAATAAACAGGTCGTAGGCTCTCACTGATGCAGCCACGTGTTTCTGTTATGAAAACTGTCAGGGAAATTTTCCGCGCTATAAAATTATACAACAGGCAGTGCTGGCAATATGGCTTTGATATTGGGCCCCCCTGCAAAGAATCTGGGGTCTGTTGAGTTGAACCGACTTGGCTGGGTGCCAGCTGATCAGCGCCTCTCCACCCACACAGTGAGCGGTGTTGGAAGTGGGATGTAAACAATCTTACATACATTTCTTTTTCCCTCAGGTTTTTTTTTTTTGGAGGGGGGGGGTTCAAAACCTTCCCGAGAGAGCTGGCCTTGTGGTCATGATTGTATGCTTCCTTGGACCCCTGGAAACTTTTTTGGGGGGGAATAGGAGAGGAAGTAGGGTAACCCTTTGTGTTCTTTAGTGGAACAACCTTGATAAGAGGAGAAATCTGATTGGCTGGCAGATTATGAGGTGCGAAGGGTCACTTTTGTTGTGAATTTCAGTAGTCTTTAAAGAGGCAGGTACTGAGGCTCCGGTACAGTACATCTTCCTTGGGGTTTTTTTGGGGGGGTGGGAGGTTTCCATGAGAAGTGTTTCTTTGAAAAGCCTGGATTTAAAAGGTAAGATGTTATGGATTGACATTAAGCTGAGGTGTTATGGTTGAGGTCAGACTTGGTAAAATGCATGATTGGCTATTAAAAAATGGCTATATTTTTCTCGTGGTTGTTGCTGTGCCCTGTTGGTTGCCATGTGCTGCAATGATGTTACCTTGCTCAAGTGCTTATTGATATTCAAATAGTTGACCCCAGGGCAGAGGTTACAAGGGTAAGGACACGCTGGATGATCTTTGACTTTAGGGAAGAAGCTGCTCTCGGCTGGGGCTAGGGCTAGGGCTAGGTCTGTTGTGGTTGGAAATGGGTTTGCAAATGCTGACAATGGATGTAGTGGTAGTAGCTCTGGAAGACTGTAACGAACGTGGGCCACATTGAGACTGTGCTCTGAAGTGAGAGAAAGGTACATGTGCAGCACAGATTTTGCAATAGACTTTATTCACAAGGAAGCCATTCCTGATCTGGTTCCCTGAATCTGTCCTATTTGATGTAATCTGTTAAATTGGATGGTGCCAGTCTGTTTTTGGTTCTAACCCGCACTTTTATGGGGGTTTTAAATGCAGCTTGAAATATTTAGAAAAAGTTATCACAAATTTAAATTATTTTAAACATAAACTGGCATATTCAACGAATGAACTACAAAACTATTGCCGTTCTACCATAAAAACTGGCTTCATGCAAACTCGGTGTCAGAAGACTAAAAAGTGACACTTTAATAGGAGAGAAGCTTTTTTGACACCTTTTCTGTTCGTGAGAAATGGGAACTTGGAAGTTCAGGGCAGCACAGTTAACATGTTGTTGTAATCTCCCCCACGGACACAGTTCAAGAAGAGCAACTTTGCAGGATGTGGGGTTATCCCCCGTGCCTCTGCACATCCTGTTTTTCTGCTTGAGAAGGGATAAGAAATCTTGGGGTTGAGGAGGTCAAAGTTTTCTGGAGTGGAGGAATTTTGCGTGGGGGGGAGGGAGGAGATGTTGATTTGGTCCCCAGAGAGGGCAGACCAAAGGAATTTTGTTCAATTTGTTGGGTTTAACTGTGGAATGTTCAATCTGTTTACTGGAGGTTTTATGTGTTGTGGATTAGAGATAAGATTTTTTTGTGGGGGGAGTGGTAGACATTAATTTGAATTTGGGGGGGGGTTGGAGTCGGGCTAGGGTATGCACTTGTTGGCACGCTTTGATTATTCGTTTAGATCATTCAGCCAGTATACTGGCTCTTTTAACAATCTATGTGCTTCATGTACGGCAACAACTCTTGCAGCTTAACAAATGAAATTGAACAGAATTGAGAATCAGTGTCGTGAAATGGTTCATGAATTTATCACAAGCTTGTGCAGTAGTGGCAACTTTGCCGGCGGACACTTGTACCAAACCAGAGGAAGACTGTTGAGGACGGACAAGTCCGTTTGATGCTTTTGTTGGGATTTGAACCTGGGCCACCAAAGTGGAGGAGGAGAGACGTACCGGCAAGTTTAACGGGACATCTGGCCCGCACCTGACTGGCACATTTTCTCTTGTTGACAGGTCTCATTGTCCCCCGCACGCTTTCGCATTTATGTACACACATGTACCGTGCGGGATTAATGCAGTGGCTTGGTTCATCATCGATCCCTACTTCAAGTCCCTGGATTCAGAATATAAAACAGTACTGAAGTTGCCAAGCGCTGAATTACAAAAAGGGCTGGCTCACTTGCGAAATGTCATCAAACTTTTCTGCCTGGCCCCTCCCACACCCCCACCCCTATTTTTCTTGAAGTTGTGGCCCCCCCCAGCGGATATTGTGTAATAACTGTTCCAAGGAAGGTGGGGGGGGGAAGAGAAATCACATGACTACCCTGGTGCCCAGAAGGGGGAGGCAGGTTGTTTTGATATATGAAAGACTGATGGTTGCATGCAATTAGGTCTTCAAGGCCATCTGACTGTGAGCAAAGCCCTTCCCGGTTACCTGCTCCCCAGCTGCTGTTGGTGGTTGGCTCATCAGGCCTGCTGGTTTTTCCAAGAAGTGGTTTCCCTGTAGAAGCTGGTTGCCCGGGAGTTGAATGACACATGATGGGAGTAATGCACCCATACATCACTCTGCCTGAGCTGATGGCCTTGGCATATTTTTCATCCTGAAATGTATTTCCCTTCTCTCTTTTTAATACTGTAAGTGGTCCTTTTCTTTCTTTTTTTGGTACTGAGTAGTCTTTTACATGCACCCTGTTCTGCTCCAAAGCAATGCTAAGAAACCCTTTGTTGGAATGAATGCAATTGTCTCGCACAGGGGGGTAGTGGTGCTGGATAAATGCCAACGATGTTGATATTTATCAGCCAGAGCACGTTTTGGTATGAATGAGGTCAGCCTTGTTTAGGAAATGCTTTGCAGCTGGGGTCAGCCCACCAGAAGTGTAAACTCCTATAAAATTTTGTGAACTAAGCACAGCTCTATACAGAGCTTACAGCCATGGCCATAAAGTGGCTCTTAACTTTCTCCCACTTTGCTTGATCCTGTGAGTTGTCGGTAGATTCAGTAGGAAGCTTATTTTCACCAAAGCACCCCATGAAATCCTAGCCATAAAAAGGTCAGCCTATAATCCTGTAAGGATTCGAAGGGCACTTGCCTGCTGACATGTACGTGTTTTGGAGTTATCTGTAAAATTAGTTATCTTTGGTATTGGATACTCTAAGGCAAAGAAATACACATCACTTTATTTAAGTTGAAGCGAACATAACATACCAGCTATTCAGTTAAAAACGGTGAGAAATAAAAAGGATAGCCATAATTGGACGGATATGTGCAAATTCTAGGCTTTAGTTTTGTGCTCAGAAGAATGAGTTCATTCAAGTCAGATTCAAACAGTTCAGTGTATTATCAAAGCCCTCAAATGAGTAAGTTGTGGGCGAGAGGCCTGCTTTAATTTAGCCATTAGCCAGCCAGTTGGACGGATTTGTGCAAATTCTAGGCTTTAGTTTTGTGCTCAGAAGAATGAGTTCATTCAAGTCAGATTCAAACAGTTCAGTGTCTTATCAAAGCCCTCAAATGAGTAAGTTGTGGGCGAGAGGCCTGCTTTAATTTAGCCATTAGCCAGCCAGTTGGACGGATTTGTGCAAATTCCAGCCAGTTGGACCCATGAACATTCTGTTGTGTTCCTGTACATGCATTAAAAGAAACTAGGCCATCCAGGGTAGTTGTGTTCAGCTGCTGGGTGCTCCCATGTGGAACTAACCCCCCTCCCCCCAAGGGACAGAAACCACTGTGGTATTACTTGGCTCATGATGTCTCTGTGTCTTACAGTCATCTCTGAGCAGGCCTTGAAAAAAAGGGAAGGCGGGAACAGTAGCTCAGCCTCCCTAAATGCCCCTTTAGAGAGCTAGCATCTTTCTCTCCTTCCCAAGGACACTACATTATCGGCCCCCCCCCTTTCTGATGTCCTGCCCTTTTGTTCTGTCCTGTCCCTTGTCACTCCTAAATTACGGTGGGTGTCTTCTGTTGAGAAGATAAACCAGAACAAGTCTTTTCACTTTTCTTCCCCTTTTATTTCTGCCAGCACTCTCAGGGGGGTAATGGGTCTGTTCCATTGTGCACTGTACAGGCAGGATACAATGAACTGGGTCAGTCTTATAACCTTGCCTTATGAAACAGCCATGTTATTATCTGGATGGAGCCAACTTGTTTTGACTGTATGAATATTTTGATTGGATATGTTTTAAACAGGGAGTTCAGTGGATAACCTGCTGGAGGCTCTTGGCAAAGCTGTAGATATTTTGTAATAAATATTTTGTGAAATCTGCATTTTTGAGACGTTACTATTTGTCTCCTGTGCACTCAGGCAAAACAGTACATCTACTTCCAAAACATCATTGTTGAGTTGATGTGAAGCAAAACCCCAATACTAGTTCCTTGTATCTCGTGTTGCTTGTTTTGCTCCCCTGAAAAAGTGTACTGTGAATCTTACAAGTGGTATTGGTTAGAATATTTTGACTGCTGGAACACCCTTGATTTTATTGGTGTTAAGGAAATGATTGTTTGGTTTACAAGGATTTAATAATATGTTTTGAAGGTGAACATCAGACTAGGGAGACACGCTATTTTTTCCCCTGGGTGTGACTTAAAATACATACAACCGGCAAAGTACTAGAGGGTTTATTTGTGCAGTGCTACATGTAATTATTCTCCCAGTAGTGCTATCAACTACCTCTTCTCAAAAGTACTAAGTCTTGTGATGAAGGGTACTACATTTATGAAAATCTTTTCTTTTATATGATGGGTTTTGCCCTTACCCAACATATATATTGATATACGTTGGGTAACGGCAAAACCCGTTATATAAATTAGCATCTCCCTAACGCAAAACTACATCTTGAAAATCTTGTCTGTTTCTTCAACTTCAGGGTTTTGACGAGAATGGCAATGCCAAGAAGATCAAAGTGGAGGAAGAGCCCTACAGCAAGGATGCCATCATCACCTCGGCCTGGTCAGCGGACGGGATGGCCCTGCAGAGGCCCTCTGCCTTCAGGCCCTGGTCCCCCTCGGCCCTGGGTAAAGACAGCAAGGGTCTGCCAGAGCACGGGACCGTCCTGGTCCGAGACAGGTTGGTGTCCTCCTCTTCTCAGTTGGTAGCAAACAGTTTCAGATGGTATTAAACTTCACAACCAAGCGTGGTTTTTTTTATATTAACTTTTTTTTTCCCAGCTGAAAATATTGACTATTCGAAACGGCAAGATACCCCCGCCACCTTTTCATGACTAAAGAGGGACACCACAAGGACTGATTTTTTAGCATTTATGAAAAGATTCATACGGCTTTTTAGCTGTATTAAGTTCGCTTTTGCAACACTCTGTGTTCCATGTTACCAAACCATGTTTTCTGTAGCACTAGGCCAGTCACAGCGACTGTAATTCTAAGTTGTGTGCATAATGAATTGAAAATTTGGGTTCAGCTCCCAAGTCCGACTCCTCATAATTCTGACGCTTCATAAGTCCAGAAAAAGCATGTTAAAAAGTCCATAAGTCCGACGCCTCATATGTCCGACGCCTCATAAGACCGACGCCTCATTGGTCCGACAAATGCATATAAAAGTTCCAATGGTTTTTTCAGCCCATAGCATAGATCAATGTCTCAGAAAATCTGACGCATCGAAAGTCCGAGGTTTGATTTGACGCTCGATACGAGCGTATGAAGACAGCGCTAGGAACAAAACTGGCTCCCGGTGTCAAGTATGGTGTACTGTGTATGACACATAAAAACATATTTAAGATTTGAAAAGTACGGTATTACAGTCAAAAAATGTTTTTATTTAAGCGAAGTATCATACATCATTCTTACATGTAGTGGTATTTTGGATTAAAGAAATACTGGACCAGTGTACGAACAGTGCAGGTAGTCTGCTTGATGCAGTATTCCTAACAGGGTCAGTACCGTGGGCACGAGTTGGGAACAAAGTTGAATCTCGCTCGCAGGCGACCCGTCGCATGGGCCCTGCACTCCTCCATGTTTCACAGTCAATCGCACTGACGCCTCATATTAAATCAGACACCCCGTTGGTCTGACGTCGGATGTATGAGGCATCGGTCCCATCAATCCGACGACTCATTATTCTGACACCTCATAAGTCCGAAAATTCAAATTTTTGAGGCGTCGGACCTATGAGGTGTCAGACGTATGATGCGCACCAGAAAATTTGACAGTTTAACATGGGTCAGAAACACTGACTGATTGATTGAACCTTGTGAGGGTGTCACATAGAAATCACTCTGGGGTTATACATGTATGTCCTCAGGGATGAAGTACATGTAGACGACGGTCCCGTATCCTGAGATTTTCTTTTTTTTGGGGGGGGGAGGGAGTTACAATGGCCAAATTGTGGTCTTTACCGATTCTGGGAAGGAAATTCTAGGGAGGAGTTTCGGTGTTCATGCTAATGAGATTTACATATTCATGAAGGAGTGATGTCATCTGAGGCTGTTGCGTCATCTTATGCTAATGACAATTCCATATTCATGACTGAGACAGTGATGTAATCAGAGGCTGTTGCACCATCTTATGCTAATGAAATTTCCATATTCATGACTGAGACAGTGATGTCATGGGAGGCTGTTGCGTCATCTTATGCTAATGACAATTCCATATTCATGACTGAGGCAGTGATGTAATTGGAGGTTGTTACAGCATCACAAGTGACAGGAAGTTTTGGAGGGGTTTTGTGAAGCCAGTTTGGGTTTTTTATCTCACTGTTGATACAGTGATAGCAGGTGTAAAAGAAAGATACTAGAAATACCAGATTTTTTAATTGGATTTCTTAGTTAATTCTTTACCTCCATAATTTTATCAAGCTTGTGGTTTTTGAAGTACATGTAAATTTCAGCAAAACAGCTTGCTGAAAGGCCCACTGCCCAACGGAAGTTTTTTTGATGCATTATTCACGCAGTCATGGCCAGCTTGAGTTGAACATCCTTGGAGGTATTTCCCTCCCTCCAGCAGGAAGAGTCGTCAGGCGATAAAGTTCGCTGACCTTATCTTCCTGAGAAGTTGGCCCTCCGCCAACGGCCCGGAGCTGGTCGGTTCTCCCACAGCTGTCCCAGGGAAGGGGGGGGGACTCGTTTCGAATAATAGATCTCGTTAACGCGTGGTTGGGAGGGGGGGAGGATAAACCCCGCTACGACTCCTGATCACAGCGTCATAAAATCTTTCTTTCATTACCGTCAGAGAGTGCAGCCATGCGACCCACTTTGTTTAATTATGGGAGAGGCATAATGTGTATGTAGGTCACACTGGGACCCCCTTTCGCAGAATGCTCTATGCACGTGGTCACCATTCCACAATCAAAGTCTGTGCAGACAAAGTGAGCACAAAATTCTTTACGAGAAATTTTGGAATTGCGCCAGTAATTTGTATATATCTATCTGTACAGTTACGCAGTGTTCAATTTATTGAGTTTTTGAAATTGATTATTCAGAGTGACAATTGGTTAAGTGAGGGTGCAAAAAAAATAGAGACAAGTTGTGGGGTGCAGTTACTAAAATAAATTTGTGTATACTTATCTGTTGAAAGAATTATGATCATTTCGGACGTACCCGGTACATGAACGTTGTGTTGTTGATTTGAAAGTTGAAAGAAGAGCCAAAATTTTCATGGTTGTTCCCAAAGTGGCACAATGTTATCTCTGGTGTGAATTTTTGGAAAGGAAGGGTAGTGCAAATATGTTAAATGCTTTTGGAAGTATCCTATAAACTAAAAAAGGTAATAGGGAAAGAAATATTGTACTGGCTGCCATCCAGATGGTTTTCTAATTTTATACTAGCCCCACTAGCATTACTCAAAATGGTTTTGGATGACCCAGTTTTGCCCTATGTGTAAAGGAATATTCCATCTACCTGTACACTTGTAATTTATTGCATGTAATTAAAGTCAAGGCAAGAAAATACACACAAACTGAATTATGTATAATTTTTCTTGGTTAGCAATTTTAGCTGCCTGTTGCTATTACATGTAGGGCCCTATATTTTGAAAGGTATACCTTGATATGTACCAAAATGGTCAGATGTTTGAAATTAAAGTGGAGGTTTCTAATCATTTTACCAGAATTGTAGACAATCATGACACAACAAACTTTCTTTTCAAGGGGAAAAATGGGCTAGCTAATGTTAACAAGTTAACTTCAAACGGACCCAAAAAAACGTGAGTGTGAGTGTTTGCAAAACACTGACGTGTTTGTTCCTGAAGATTGATAAGGCTGTTGGCAGGTGTCAGGCACCATTCAGTCACCCTACATTCCATTTTGGACACCAGGTTTTGTTATGCAAAACACATGCAAAAGACAGGACTTGAACTTGGGCATGGTATTTTCCAGTTCAAGGCATATGAAAGGAAAACGCCATGTACATATGCAGATGCTGCAAAGTCCAAAAATATGTGCACTGTGCAAATGTATCTAAAAGATAGAAATCGTCATTTCATAAATTGAAACAAAGTTCAGCCTTAGAAAAGTGAGGTCTTGTGCCAAATTACGTTCAATTCTGCATTTGTTTTGTCGCCATGCACAGTACATGTACAGTACCTCTACATGTGATTGCCTTTTGAGTCTACCCTAAAATGGGCCCCATCGGGGTTGAAAGTCTGTACCTTGGGTTTGTTTACACAGGGCAGGAGTGTTAGAGCTGGGCACAGGGCGAGGGCAGGGGTCTCGGTTGGCAGAGCTCTGGCCTGGAACAGTGGAAGGCCAAAGCTGGTGCCCTGTGGGTGGGAGGATGGCTAAGGCTAGGTCAGGCCGGCTAGACGACTGTCTGCTGTGGTAGACAGGGAGACATTTGACCCAGCCAGATATGTGACCTCCTGGAATGTTCCCTTCCCACTCCTCCTATCCCCCTCCCCTTGTCTCATTTTGTGCAAGAGATTCTTGTTATACGTTAAGGAATAGCAAAGCAGTTGTACTCAGTGTTGTAATGGAGACCACTTGACCATATGTTTAGATGACCAACACAAGACCACCACACAAGACTGGACCTCAAGGTTGAATAAGCCTTTATGCCAGTTAAATTTCAATAAAATCTGGCACCCTGAGTTATCTGATTGCACATGAACATAATAATTTGAATTCCCCAGACTAAAGACACTTTTGCTGTACCTTATGATTCGGGGCAAGCTTTTGCATGGCGACCTTCATCTCTGGAATAGACTGGTTCCTTTGTGCCCTTCTTATCCATTGAGAACAGTGTATTGGTGCAAGGCATCTCTTGTGTAAAAGCTTGTCTGGATCACGAGGTCTGACAGAATTCAAATTGTTATGTTCGCGTGAATTTAGAGCACTTAGTGTACATGTACCAGATTTTATTCAAATTTAATTCACAAAAGGTTTATTTGCACATAACTCACAAGCTGAACTGTGAAGAAAGATGTCCTTTGTTCTTTATCCACCCAGTTACTTCTTGGATGGTCTTGTTTCCAGTCTTGGGAATGGTCCCGTGATGGTCTTGATCAGAAAACTGGTTTGTAAGAAGTTTTCATGCATGGTCCGTGGATTCTGAATAGTTTCCGTGTGTGTGGTTCTTACTGTACAGAGGGTTTTGCGTGGTAACCCTTTTGCAGGCCAGTTCTTTTGTTTGACAGGGAAACCTCCTTTGAACAGAAGCACTGGCCTGCAAGATGGCAGCCAAGCAAACCCTCTGTACCGGTATGTACCGGTACTTGCACACTGGGGTCTGGCATCAACATCTCTTGTCCATAGGTTTGTCCCATTGTCACCTGACTTCACACATGTTGGGCTTACGCGTGGATGCAGATGTGCATTCATGTTTACAAGCTCTGTGGAAAGTGGAAAGTCCAAAAGATTGCCAGTAAACCCAGTGGAACTGACATACGTGTAATTTACAGACAAAAGGGAAAATAAACCCTACTGCCTTCTCCTTTTCCGATAAAAGAGGCCCATCTTTGTCATCAAAGCAGTGTGCCGCTTCATGCCAAGAATCGTTCATTGAATGCATTACTAAAAGACGTTTTCTGTTTGTCGCATGCCCCAACTTTTGTGTAAACATGAAGGCCCATATTTGAGATCTGCTCCCGCTGATTTGAGTACTCATACCCAGAGGTCCATGCCGCTTCAGCGGTTTGCATTTTAGAGGTTGCGTTTCGTTGACTGTACATTATACATGCGTGAGTACAACATATGGTTGTTCATGTATATAATTTACATCTGCCTTGTACGTGTCGGTCATGTCATAAAGCAGTGGGATTTTTAATTTGGAAGGTTTTGTTTGGGATATTTTGAATTGGTTTCATATGTAACCTTAACTTCTGGTGAAATCAAATAGTTGGTGTGAACAGTAGGTCACAGTTGCACCTGCTTACCAAGCGTGGGACTTCATGGAGCCAAGTTCTGTTAAGGTGATTACCCCAACTGAAGTCAGCGGAGAATTTGATTGTCTCTTTGGGCATTGATATTGTGACCGGGAGTCCCCGGGTGAATGCTTGCCATGCATGGTTGGGCTAGGCGGGTTTCATTGTTAGTGGGGAAGATTGATAGGCACTTTTTGTGTTCCAGTCCCCCTCCCTTTGACTGAATGCATTTTTACATGCACGTTCACCAAGGCAACAGCTTGGAAGTGGGCAGAGAGGGGGGGATATAGGAGTCACACAGGTTGTATGTTCGTGTTCGCTGGAACCACCAAAGTGTAGGAGATTTTGAGTGATGAGAGAAGTTGTGGTTTGCAACGAAAGCAGGATTTTGAAAATCTGGATTTTATCAGTTTGGAAGTCGTATTTTTGTCAGTCAAATGAGAATGCAAATGTCCTTGTACCATGTACTGTACAGGTGTCAGACCATGTATTGTGTAACAGTTGGCTGCTGCAGGCTAGTTCAGTTCTAGTTTTTTTAGAATAGAAATATAGAGTCTGCTTGTTTGATGTCACAGTCGTGCTTTTCCTACAAGCTAAAACTGTGGTTGACCGTGTTTGCAAAAGTAGAGTAATTTACGAAGTGTTACAAATCCCACGTGCTATCAGAACTGTGGATAATAATATGCGTAATATTCTAAATGCTAATTTGAAAATAGAATCTTATTTGAAATTAAAAGGACAGTTCTCCATTTTGCAGAGATTTGCACTCATTTAAAATAGCATTTTAGTTGAGCTTGGAAATTTGTTCGTGATACATTTAGAGCCAATAATTTTATCCGTTTCAAAAATGGGTACTTTCCGTTTCGCCAAATCTCGAATTCCGCTTCAGAAATTCAAATTCTGTTTCATACCTTAATTCGTAAGCATGAAATTGGAGAGCAAGTTTTAAACTATGCATGGAAATCATTGGCCCAACCACATTGCCTCCCTCCCCCCAAAAAGAAATAAAAGAAACAAAAATAACAATGATATTGTTTGGAAATACTCGGCAATGTTTCCAATTTTTTTTATCATTTTTTTATCAAATTAAAAAAAAATGCAGACAGTAAATACTGCATACCCCACCCCTTGGTTTCCCACCGGCGTGCGATCACCAAACACTTGCCACAATTAATCAACAGAAAATTCATGTGCCACTCCTCATGTATGACATCAGATCATGTACATGTACAGTGAAGTCACAAAGCAGGTCTTGCATGTAACAGTCGTCGATCACAATATGTTAATGTTGGACATCGACCCGCCATTTTATTTGGCAGTGGTGTGACAAATTCAGAAAGGAACCAGGAAATAGAAATATTTTATAAATTTTACTAAAACCCTTGAAATTGCATCTTTGGGTTTCAATTAACCTTTTTTTAAAGTTTTGTTTTGCAATTTTTACCCATATTTTGATGCTTTTTTGGTTTTATGCTAATGTTATTTGCATATTCATGACCAGAACCATGATGTCATCCAAGGCACTGAATCTCAAGGTTGCACTGATTAGTGCACAGAAAATTTTTAGATTTTTTTAACCATCGCTTTGGCAGATTTTATTTTCTTTGGCAATTTATTGCTGTGTAAGTACATGAACATGTATATGGCAATAATCCAGCAAAAATCCTTTTCACAGAAATGTTCCCAGATGGCAAATTTGGAATTCTTAATTTGAACATGAAACTGTGCAACCTGAATCATGTCTTTCTGGATTTACCTCAAAGCAAAAGTGCTCTCACTTGTCCAGAAATGTTGGTCGATTTTTAATGTTTGAAAGAGTGCAAACTCCAAAAAAGATGTCAAACAGTCTTCATACATGGAAGAAGAGTACAGAGATATACAAAAAGTGATTCTGAGAAAAATTCATTTCCTTGTTCCTTCAACATTAAATCTGAGCCTTCAAATGTATATTTGTGACTAAAAACTTCTCTCTTTATTGAACATTTCCGAGGGCCCATTCAGCCATGGTACACCAAGCTGACTAGGTTTCATTAAATTCAAGAAATATGTAATTAGTCGTCCGTTTCGCTACCGCGGTTTCATCGTTTCGCCAGGCGGTACTAGCCTTGTTTCAAGGCGTCCATGAGGATTCACAGACTAAATTCGCCACCTGTGCAATAGTCATAATGTGTGAGTAAGAACTTGTTTGTGCCTTGATTTCATTGCTAGTAGGGTGCCAGTGTGTGTGTACACAATGTACTGTATCGTGCCGCTGCGCTGTGCCGGCACGCGAGGGGCCCACGCATGCCATAGCGCTTGCAAGTATTGGCACCGGCACGGGGCGGACGACCCAACCATGTGTTGGAATGGTGCAATTTAGCATTTTTCCAGCGTAATTCGTTCATTAAAAGCAGGCATTTGAAAAGGGTTTGATAGGCATTTATTTTTTAGTACTTTGCAGAAAAGTTTCTTTACTTTTTAAGCCATTCTTAGATTGAAATTTTGCGAGTTCTTTCTCAAGCAGTGGATTGCGTTTCAAAGTGTCGATTCCGCGAATTCCGTCCGTTTTCCGGGATCACGGAAAATCATTGGTTCTATACATGCACGTTCAATCCTTGTTGATCTTTTGTGACTGGAAGAAGGAAGGACATCCTTCATCTTGCCCTCCCATATGGTGTGGGTGTGGATTTGAATGGCTTGTAGGGGTGGGTTCCAGTTTGCCGCAGGAGGTGGGGATAGGTTGAACGGCCTTGCCTTTCCATCAGTTTTTCAGTTCAATTTTTTGGGGTTGGCCCAAGAGGAAGGACTCTTTTGCCATCAGAGTTCCAGTTGTCTGTGCATTTTCACCCTCCAGTTCACGGTTTGCAGTATTCCTCTGGTCACTGTGGTCAGGCCACTGGCCTGTTTTGCTTTGTCCAGTTAATGAATGGTTGCTCTGGTCTCTGTGCCTGTCACGTGACCCTGATAAGCTTGAGAACCAGACCAGCTGTGGTGAACTTGCATCATGATATGGTTGGTTCATATGTAGTTGTTGATTGGTCAGTACAATCCCAGACCGATGTCCGTACGTGTGATCCTCTTTTTTTGTGTTTGTTTAGGAACGGTATCTTATCCTGCAAATAAACCCAGTGCTTAGGGGAAGTTCGTGTTTCTCCTTCACAGTCTTTTTTTTTCTTTCTTTTTTGTTTGCATTAATTGTCCTTTGTTTTTCAAATGAAACAGCACCTTAATTAGTTTTTTTGGGGGGATTACTTTGTGTAAATTTCTCTGTTGCAACAGGTACATGAGCTGGCGCCCATCGATCTGAGTGTTTGATGGTGTCTAGGTCATCATATGTGATATGTTAAAGAAATGACACACTGGCTTGACCTCCTACTGTTGGTCTCTGAAAGAAATGCTTTACAAGATGGAACTGAGGACAGTTTTATTGGAGACAGACCATTTCTTTGTCTGGATGTTACTATACAAATCATTCATTTATTCATATAATAGAAATATTTATATATTTAATCGGTCCGCATTTATAAATAGAGAAATTTATCTTCCATGGGCAGATTAAAGGAATATTGAAACAGCATGTGAAACACTCAAATTTTTACAATTAAAATGCCAAGATACACAAAATCTACATGATGAACATTAAGACTTCACTCAAAAATAAGAATAAATTCAGAAAAGGCAGAGGAAAATGCTTTAAATTAATACTAAAAATATTTTAGAAATTGAAAATCGACTGGCATTTTTCATGTGTTATTCTTGCTTTCTGTATGCCAAAAGATGCAAGCTTGCAGTTGGCAGTGATGGCTACACATTTGTCGTAATGGACATCTGCAGTTGTTTTTGAATAATTTCCATATTTATGGTTGGTTTGTCTCCTTGCCTTTTTGTCTGTACAGCCGCGGCATCCCAACGTACCTCAGCATGGGTCCGCCGGTGCTACTCAACCCAGAGAGGGTGGTGCCCCATACTGCGGCATCCAAGTAAGTAGATCAGTCTGTCAAAGACTGTCTAAACTGTCTTAAATCCTACAAATTCTTACAGCAGATTCTGCAAGTTTGTCTTAAAATCCTACAAAATTCCTGCAATGGATTTTCTCAGTATTTTGATGGGTTTTAGCATTGTACCATTCAGCCACCATGCCTTTACAACCGAGATGGAATTTAAAGGTTTTTTGATGGACAATGTGGCATTTTTTCACTGTATAGTGTTTTTTTAATTGATATATTTTTTTTCGGAATTGATTTGGTAAGATTCCCAGCTAATACAAAGCCAAGAGAATTTTAATAGAGAGGAGGGAGTAGTTGGAATTCGACATCTTTATTTTATATATCTATCTACCTTTCATTTTTATCCTTATCCCATGAAGTTAATGTAACTTGATACTTGTTGACCTTTCGGGTCCCAGAACATTCAAAAGGAAAATTTTTTGTCTCTTGTTGATTATCTCTTAGTTATGACAGTCACTATGCCCCCAATGTCACTTTGGCCCCGCCCAGCAAGCCAGAAACTCCTCAGAAGAGCGATGGGCCAGACTCAAAGGACTCTAGCTCCGAATCAAGAGACAGATCACCAGGTATGCTACAGCACTGTGGCCTTTTTTTAATCAGAGGCACAATGCCACAGTCATTTACCAATTCCAGCTTTTCATAAGTGGCTATTGTGTGGTGACGTGCAGTTTTCATTCAACTCCGCATAGTAGCCAATTGGAACCAAGCTTAGAAATTCAGATGTGATCTTTTTGAAGTCCTGACAGAAAACACTCTCTGATTGGCTCATTTGTTTACATGCGGAAGGTCAAAGGGCATTTTAGTGAGCTCACCTTGTGATGTACCTATATTTGTTTTTTGGTGCAGAGTATTAACAAGCCTACATGCTTTCCTGGTGAATCATTGTCACACGATCGCCAGTCACACGGAAGTCCAATCAGAAGCTTGAGAGCTTTGTAACTTTTGAACCTCTATCCCCTCATGTTAGAATCTGGAGGCAGCCCCGCCCACAGGAGGCGGCTGGAGGAAGATGCAGTTGCCACAGAGCCCAGTATGGAGCAAGAGATTGAGCTGGTGCGGAGTATGCTGGAGGGGGATGCGGTGGAGTCGCGCGCCGGCCGGGAGAAGCTGCTGCATGAGCTGGCGCGGATCCGCATGCGACAAGAGGAGAGGTTGCAGGGTGCCCTCGCTGCTAAGAAAGATCTCCAGCAGGTTCGTCACTCATGGTTATCTTTTTTTGCTTTCCCTCTTGAAAAAAACACCCTACAACCTAACCATTCCTCAAGTCTGTGATCTGACTTTCTGCAACATACTTGAGGACAGCTGTCATAGTTGAGTCTGGAGTTAAGAGCATCAAGGAACGATTGCTGAAGAGTACAAGGGTGTAATTTAACCTTCATGAACAAGAATTGGTTGGGCTGTTCCTGTTTCATGATTTGCTTTGAGAAGATTTAATTACTACACCATTGTGGATAATTCTCACCAAATTGAAATTTCAAATGAAAATCTCTGACAAATTACCACCAAATCGATTTTTAATCATGACTACTAAAACGCACCCTGGTCCATTTGGAGAACTTGATAAATTTGAATAGGACTTGTGAAAAACTTTTGTTGTGGAAGCAGAGCCAACATTGCCTGACGAAAATCACAAGGAATCAGTGGACTTGAACAACGGTGTTGTCTTCTCTTTCATGTGCAGGAATTGGAGTTTGTCCGAGCCGCAAAGAAGGAAAAGCTGCGCGAAGCTGCCGAGACCAAGCGCAACCTCCGCAAGGAGAACGAGCGGCTGCGCACCGAGTACGAGCGCCGGCTGCGCGAGCTGAGCGACTCCAAGCAACACCTGAAGAATGAGCTGGAGTCGCTGCGAAACCGCAGAGGGTCGCACGAGGGCGGCGCCGGCAAAGAGCGCGCCCGGCTACGTGCCGAAAATGACTACATGCGGGAGCGGCTGGACGCCGTGGAAGCCGAGCGGGATGAGCTGCAGCGACAGCTGGCAGAGCTGCACAAGGTGCAGGCATCAGCGATGAAGAACAGCGAAATCAAGGACGCGATGAACAAGAAGTATGACAAGGACGATGGGAAGCGGAAAGCTGACACCATGACAACCGAAGGTTGCCCGAAAATGAACAGCCCCTCCGCCAGCCCTAAAGTCGCCACCAGCGCTTAGATAGAAGCAGAATGTGGAGAGAAAAATGGTTAAGAGGAACCAAAGGAACGACGAGGACTTCAAAGTTGGGATGGCATAGGATATCTTCCGGTCAGGAGTCAGTCAATTTATGGTAGAGGGATGCACTGTAAATAATGCGAGAAGTTGAATTTCAGCAGTTGGGGGGGGCAAGGTGCGTGTTGCCCCAGCGCGGAGGAGTGCATGAACTAAAAGTGTAATGTGCATGTACATAAACGTTTAAGCATCAACTTTTTGGGAAGTAGTCTTTGCCAACATTTTTATATATAACAGGCGCTGGCCTTTTTTTGCACGCATTTTGATGCATGTGTATTTGGAAAGAGGAAATTGACTGGAAATTAAAGATGGGAATTTCTTACATCTCGTAGCTAAAATTTCGTAGCTTGTTCACCTCATGTACAATGTAAAATTTAAGAAACAGAAGTCAATTTGTCATCAAAAGTTTGCTTTGAAAACTTCCAATCATTGAAATCTACCTCATTTTTTGCTTTTAAAGAAAAAGAAAAGACAATACAAGCTTGTGTGGAATGAGAAATGCTATATATATAAAATATACGGTGATTGAATTGCATAAACTTCCAACAAGAGTGCTGCTATATTAAAAAGCCAATACAAATTGTCTCAGTATATATATTATATTTTTTTCCGTAGCGACAGCCAAGTGGTGCATTTTTACCTCGAGTGTTAGGGGGAAATATGACTATTTTTTGTCGTTGTTTTTCCCGGGGAAATCAGGCATTAGAAGAGAAAAAAAGGTTGGTTAATGGAGATTTTTTTGTTGCTTGTTGTTGGAAAAAAGCTGATATTGATAAAGCACATGCATTTAAAGCACCCGTTGATGGGTGTGTGCATACTCGCACTGGCAGAGAAGACAAATCAGAGAATGCGTAGATCGTGACGCCAAGTGTTAAACTTAAGACAGTGGCCAGTATTATATCCCGAAACGCACGTAGAAAAGAATATGTTCAAAGGTATTTTTCAATGTTGGTTGTACATGTGTTCAGTTGTGTCTTAGTAAGTTGGACTTGGCTTCAGGTCATGCTGCGGGGATGTGACCTATGACCTGATCCGACAGGGGTTGGTTTCTGTATTGCTTGAAAAAAAAAAAGCGGTTGTTACAAGTGTATATATATTCAAATGTTTTGGTGCCTTATGTATCAGACTGGATGTTTTGGGACATTTTATGCTGCATATTGGAGATTTTTGTCACGCTTTATCATTTTTCTGGTTTTGTTTTGGTTTGTTTCGTTTCAAATTTTTTTACGCGTTAAACTGTAAAGTTGCTCACCAGCTTAAGTTTTGACTTTCTTTGTACAGATGTAGTATACCTTCGTCCAGAAGGTAATGGTATGTTCCGGTGTTGTAATCAACATGCAGAAACGGCAGGTCAGGGTATTTGGATTCAGGGGTGGATGTTATAACTTGTGAATAAAATATATAGAGTAAACAGATACAAAATATATGGAGATGAAAGCCATAACTGATACCAAATTAACTGCCCTGTTGTTTGCAGCTCATAAATTTTATGTTTATAATTTTAAAAGATTGTGGTTCTAATTTGTCCTCATTTTAACCATTTTTCCTATTTTTTTCACATATTCAGAATCTTTTTTGGGTCAGGAGATACTTGTTGTGATGCTTGTTGCGAAACGATAACACTGTGGTCTTGGTTTTCCTGAAATTCCCTGATTTTTTGGAATTTCTGAAAGAAAAATAGTATGGACATAATGCCCCTTCAAACCAGGCGTGGTATTTTTTGGAGCCTTAATTTGTTTCAAAACATGCTGCAGGTTTTTTCTTCTGAAGCCTCCTCACATCCGCGTCCATTCCTTGTTTGAGTGGACAGACATTCCGGTGAAGCTTGGATCAGTGCCAATTTGCTGCAGGACATGGGGACAAAGTCATTACTTCCCCAAATATTTACCTTTTCCTCTGAAATATTGCAGATTGTACAATAACGGCTCTTTTCTCGGGCTTAATCAGGGTGAGATTCTGGGGAGCAAAGATCACCATGCCAACTAGTTGTATAACCTGATGAGATTGCCAGGGAATTGGGCATTTGCCAAATCAGGCATTTTGGTGTTTTCCACATAATGAAACTTTGATTAGCTGGCACTGTATAGTTTCCTTCCCCCTCTGCTAATCACATTTAGACCAATATTGTAACATCACGCTCAAAAATTTACAGGGAATACAAAGGCAGATTGCAGAAACTGAATTACACATCACGGGTACAACATTTGAGAAATGCTCTTTTTTGGTATTGATGTATAAACATGTATATGTAAATCATTGGCTAAAATAAAACTCAAGTGAACCTTGCAATGGGTTGATTTTTCGTTCTAAAAAATATGAATAAGACCGTTATTGCATCTTTTCAAAAGGTGGGAGTATTTATCTCCACCTAAGCTTTGTAATAGCTTGTCATTTGGAACTGAAATACAAATTAGGAAGCCGAATAGATTGAGCTATATTTTTTTCTTGATTTTTTTTTTTTACAAATGTATAACAGTAATGTGGCAAGAGTGGTGTATATTTGCAGTAATTAGTCAGCGGGATTAGCCCTTTGTGCGTGGCTGTACGCACGCTGTACAATGTTGAAGTTGGCTTTACAACAGGTGCTCTTTATCCAAAGATTGACCTTGCCTCATTGAAATACTTTAACCCAGTTGGCTCGCTGTTGCCAGTTTTTATAAAGACTGAGGTGGGGACAGTAATGTAAAGTTCCACATCGATTTGGGCGAGTTGTGCAGCACACGTCTGTGAGAACTGGCACAATATTGTCTGCTCGAAAAGTAAAACCGATTTTGGGAAATTGGACAAAAAGCATAAGGCCATAACCTGCGTGTACAAATTGCTTCCTTTAAAACCGCCTGTTTGGTAAGGTTCTGACTGGAGAGTTGGCAGGCATCACCTAGGCCTGTAAAACGCAAGTTCAAAAACACTTGTACAAATTTGAAAAAAAAAAAAGAAAAGGAAAAAAACGTCGCTAGGTAAACAGATGCTGCATGAGTAATAAATTTAAATATAATAACAGAATGGTTTTGCTTTTATGTGTTATGTATCTGTTCTATTTCTTCTGCTGTTGTTGACTATAGACTTGTCAAGATGGAGACGAAATTGAAATGTAATTATTTTTTTCTCCTTTTTAACAACATAGATGTTCCATACGGTGTGATTTACTGAAGTATCTTATACAGCTTCTTTACGTCTTCAGTTGCAAACATGTTATTAATAATTGCCAACAAAAACAGTAGTGTGTATTGTTGCTTTTAAAATCAGTATTTTTTTTTTCAGAAATGTTTTACCACGAGAGATTTGATATTGGCATCTTCACCTCAAATAGATAACTTTTATCCTGCGTTTACTTATAATAGATATTGTAAGCTTAAACCGCAGCTAAGTAAAAATGATAGATACTTTGAAAGTATGACTGTTAATGCGATTAAGAATAGTGGACAGTTATTGTGTCTGGTGCCTAGTTGCTGTGGTACTAATTGTGAAGGGATCAGCCTCCCACTGTGGCACCAGTCTGTTTTGATGCCAAGACACGGGGCATTTTGGGCAATATGCCTTCGGTTGTTGCCAATTGACTGCACTACAAATGACCAGCCGCAGCCGCAAACAGAAGGACTGACTAAAAGCAGTTGTCAGTAGCTCTTTGTGTAAATTTGTCATGCGTGAACAGCGAAACCCCAAGCTTTTCAGTTGTAAGAATGAATGTAAGGTATTCATGTAGATTTTGTTTTGGCTTTGTTCCCCCCCCCCGTTTTATTGTTGTCCTTGGTCTTGTGTTTGAAGGGGGAGAGGTTATGCACAAGAGCATGCAACAAAGCTAGGATTTGATGTGTACATGTATACATTTTGTAGATATGAAACTTTATGCATTGTGCTGGTTTGCTAATACCATGCCCAAATCTGTGGATAAGTCGTCTGCCCTCCCCCCAAAGGATAGGTATTTGCCTCACATCAGTTGTATTAATGTCACATATACATATTTAACGGTGTTCTGTTGGGTCCTAATTATGAGATACAGGAGTTGATTTACAAAACGAATTTCGCTCACCTTTTTTGTTTTTTTAGCCATAAGGATTTTCTCATGAGTAGGCATGGCTAAAGCTTTGTGAAGTTTATTGTACAGTAAATGCACTTGTCATTGAGTTGTTAGAGACGTTTGTGGTTAAAACAGCTTTATTACCTTACCATTCATTTTAAAGTTTCAGCTTCTATGTATAAATTAAAATAACCTGTGTATACTTAACTCGGCTGTTCATGCAAAGTATGTTATATTGAAAAGCAAATTCAAAATTTAATTTGTATATATTAATTATTATATTGATATTATAGCAAGCGAAAAGAATTATTTCGACACGTTATGTGCTTGTATAATGTACAATGTATATCATTTTTTGAGTCTGCAAATAGGACACCACAATCTGTAACAACATTATTACAATTATGTGACTTACAGTCGTGCCGTCAGAACAATGAACTGAAATTGTCACGTTGACTTTGTACCAAGAAACTAGCTAAAACTATCAATGTCAGTGGGTCGATTATTGCCGAAGTGAAAGATTTGTTAAGAAAGAGGGAAAGAGGTTTTGAAAACGGTACTGGGAATGAGCCAGTTCGGTATTTCAACGGCGCATGCCCAAAATGAAGCGCGTCTGGGGTCAGGGCGTCCCCACACAGACTCGCGCGTGTGCTTTGTTCGTTCTGGGTTTTTTTTTTGTTTTCGTTGTTTTTTTTTTTTAAATACTGAACTGGCTCATTGTTTTGGTACGTATTAGTGACCTAAGCGTGACTCGTCTGGGCTTGTATTGAAACTCCGCAGTGCTGGCCTTACATAGTGCTGTGGTGAAAAAGTAGTGATTGAAAAAGAAATGAATTGGACTGGTCAAATAAAATGTATGCTTAAGCTACCTCAGGGAAGAGATTCTGTGATGGCTCACATTGCCTGTGTCTTGTCAGTTTTCCTCATTTTTTGTTCAAATCTGAGATTTGCGAAAGTTGCAGGTTTGAAGTGCTACTAACTGGGGTCTTATCTCAAACCACAGTTGCCCATCATCATCATAATGTTATGACTTTCTTATCAGGAGGGGTGCAAAATGCAAATTTGACAGTGGGACATTTTACCGCCCTTTTTGGCCGCCATGAATTAGTACCACGTGCTACGGCACCATGCTCTGTGGAAATATTAGTCTACCAAATTGTGGCGAGGTAAGGCACCAGACGGCTCAACGCAGGCTGAACTCGGCAAGACAAGCATGGTGGATTCTCGGTAAGTGGGATGAGGTTTATTTTCAATTGTAAGCTTCCTTTGAGCTGTTGAATTGCTGCGGTTACCGTGGAGTGCATCCGTAGTTTTAAATCCACAGCAACAGGTTACCATTTTGAGCAAATCCGGCCGAAATACTGTGTGTCGACTTCGATAATTCAACAGGCCGCATCTGAACTAAAAACAGACTCGGGATGCCACAGCTGTGAATCGAGAGCAGACGTCAAAATTCTGTGCTGATCCGAACTCCACTATAGAGCTGGAAAAAAATCAGCTGGAAAAAATACTATTTCAGAGGATTTGGAAAGAATCCCATACACGGACGCTACTAATTTTGCCCCGCTGTGACCAATTAGCTATCTGAAAGCAATAACACCCTTAAAGAGTCACATTTTTGCAGAGAAACAGAAGTTTTCAGACCAGTCCTTTTAGGGTTTGTTATTAAGGTGTCAAGCGGCATCAATATGTGGAAATTTTGGGGAAAGTTCCATACTACAACAACACTTATTTTCCCTTAAAATATTATAACAGCCATCAGAAAGTTATAACACGTCTTAAAACTTGTAAAAGTGAAATTTTGGTAGGAAAATTCCCAAGCATGTAGGCCAACTTACAAAATACTTGAGTAGACTTTCCACCACTGTGGAACTGGCACCAGGAATCAGTAGTCTTTTGTCGTGGATAGGAGAAAGATTACGTGAGGCCATCTGCCTTGGAAGCAAGAAACGTTTGTTTCCATGAACTGTTTCCAAGGATGGAAACTATTTCTATGAAGTCGGTTTTTCCAGAAACAGATAGCCATGTACAAACTCCCATAAACACATTTTGGCTGTTTTGATTGTGCCAACTTTCTTTCCATCAGAGCTATCTGTGCAACCAAATTTCATACATGCCTTCTTGGTGAAGTTCGATGTCAGATGGGGAGGTTTATTCACCTTATATCCTCACTAAAATGGTGAAATTGTTGAGCATTTTGCCCGACCATACTACAGAAAATGTGCAGCATGTTCATTACCTCTCAGTAATTGTCAGCTGTGTGATAGCTTGACCAATCACAACACAGCTCCTATCTTTCCCTTTTGTTTTCGTGACCCATCTAAATGAAAGCTGAGCTGTGATTGGTCATTGGAATGGAAGCAAATTGGACCAATCATGGCTTTCATCAGTGGCTGACAGGAAAACAAAAGGAAAAGACAGGAGCTGTGTTGCGATTGGTCAAGCAATCCCACAGCTGACAGTTATTGAGACTACAAGCTGCTGATTTTCTGTAGAGTGGATGGGCAAAATGCCCAAGAATTTCACCACTTTAATGAGGATGTAAGGTGAATAAACCTCCCTATCTGACATCTAACTTTACCAACAAGAAGGCATACAGTCTATGTATGAAATTTGGTTGCCAAGAAACTGTGATGGAAGAGTACGTTGGCACAATCAAAACAGCCAAAATGTGTTTATGGGAGTTTGTACATGGCTATTTGTAAGGTTTGTATAAATCTCACAGTTCTGGAAGTAAAGTCAGTTGTTCATTAGCTGGTTTGTGTTTTTTCAAAGCTTTTTGTGGCACGTTTAATTTTGTCGACTTTGTCTTCTGTTTTTTGAAGGGGTGATTTCCATTATGTTTAAAGAGCTTTGTCTGGGATTTAAAAACAAAATCTCAATTTCAACATGCGGGAGAGCTCTCTTAAATAGGCCTACAAATTGTAATTTGTAAATCTATGAAAATCTATATGAAAGTGATTTTAAGTGACTCGTTGACATAAAACTGGTAATGTGGCACAATGTCAGAAGCAATTTTACGCACTACACACAGTGCAGAAAGTGGAAGTGCCTTTTTGAACAGGACATGTCCACTGGCAGCCCCCCATTTTTGGCAGGTCCTATAATTGGATGGGTTTTAGTGGATTGGTCTATTAGTGGCTGATGCCTGTTGGTCTCACACGTCAAAGACCTTGCCCTTGACAGACTCGAAGATCTGATTCACCAGTTATTCGGAGCGTGACCCGCGGACTTTGCGGTACTGACCTCTTATGGGAAAGAGACACTTTTGTTGGACAAGACTGACCAGTAATTAAATTCACATGTGCCTTGGCGGCCCAGATCCTCCTGAAAATAATGGCCACTCATCTAGCTTGTGGGGGTTTGTGGCACTGTGTGATTGGTAGGATGGTGAGTCAGGTACGATAAGAAAATTGAAGGAGAGGCCAGCAGCCCGTTGTAGGGGTGGATGGGTTCAAATCATGTCCCAGGAATGGAAGAAATATATATCACACAATGTTATTACTCCCACAGTTGGCCATCCACCCCAAACAGAACAGAGAGAAGGTGCAATTTTACTAGACACGGACTCCTTTGGTGGGTACTGGACTTTGCCGGTTCACGACCGGCTATGAAATGCATACATTGTGGTTGCATTGCCACCAACAACATGAATATTCCTCACCAACACGGCTCTCGGCCAAACCAGTGAGGGGGTGCTTCTGCTCAAGCTGGATTTGGAACAGAATGAAAAATGAAAGGTGTCTGCATTTGGATTTCTCAGTTTGTTTGAACAGTTTTCCGAGGGTTTGACGACAGCTTGGAGGGACAAGCTAGGAAGGATCAGGGGCGCACTCAGGAATTTTTCCAGGGGAGGGCCTCTCAGATTTTTTATGATTGCTGCTAACAGGTGGACATACATGTATAGTAATGCATTACACACTCCATGTATGAATAATAACCCTCACAGGAAATTATTATATTTAATCTTTTTCTTTTTTTGATGTCATGGCAGGTCTGCACCTGAGGATGGGGGCAGGGGTAGGAGTGATTAGAAGGGGGGTTAGACTGGGTACGGGCCCTTTTCAAACGTGGACTTCGTGGTTATCTCACGGCTGCCAACTCTCATTCACCGAGCGTGAGACACTGAAGTCTTACTCAGTGTTGCCAGCCCCTTGATACACTATCGATGACAGGCTATAGATTAGAGTGAATGACCTGTTGTCGTAGAAATGAGTGTTGCTTTAAAGAAAGCACATGACCATCCTCGTGAAATCTGGGTGTGCCAGTCTCCCCCCCCCAAAAAAAACCCAGTCATTTGTCACTTCAAGGTTTGTGCCTCTTGCATAAATTTTTCATTTCCTTTCTGTGAGCTGGCAAAGCTAGTTTGCCTCTCTGGAAGTTACAGCCCCTATCCATTTGCCTCTACCCTTTCGGACCGACCCAGTGCAGACCTCATTTTTTTTAGGGGGGGGGGAAATGTTCAACTTGATTAGGTTTTTCATGCATTGCATAGCATATTATTAGGGGCGACTGTCATGCGACGTCTTGTCTATCGGTTTGTAATGGAGCGGGATATCTGAATATCCCAGATTGTAAACCGTCTTAATCCAGCCTGCTCATAGAAAACAAGGTATCACCAGAACCGATGATTTATAGCAAGAGGGCAGCTTTGCAATTTTGGCTTGGCTGGTTAACTGACCAACTCTGTCAGGCCTGAGACCTGATCGAAACTTTGGTCGCCCAATTTAAGCGCCCCCCACCACTACTGACTCATATGTTCTGTGATCCAACATAATCATTGTGAAGTACTCTCTGTAGTTTAGGGCATTAAACCCTTAGAAAACAAGTTTAGATACTGAGACATCATCCCCATGACTTTTAATTAAATTTCAGGTTTCAAATTGAGCGTTGAGCTACAAATGTCAAAGATGTTTAGTACGTATAGGATTATTCTTGTCTGTATATTTTTATCTCTGCACATGTATGTAGTGCATAACGGAGATAGGATGTTTTACTATGTCATTTTCTTGAAGTTTCTTGGGCGTTTCCAGGCAGAAATTTTGGTTGAGTGGATTTGATTGCATGGGAGCACGGCCCCATGTCCATACCTTGAAGCAGATTTGTGAGCAAGCTGTGACAAAACGTTATAAGACCAGCCCAGACTGCTAGTATCAAGCTGACATAGGAGCAAATCAGTTATGGACGAAATAATCTTGTCCGAATCATGATTCAAACACACAATGCAAAAACTGAGAGTTGGAGGGGGGGGTAGGCTTTGGGGCAGTGAAAAAACAAAAAAAAACAAAACAAAAACAAGGGTCCTGGAGCAAGACAAAATTGAAAGTGACATTGACAGAGCCAGAGGTGTCACAAAGGGGCTGGGCTTCCCGGAGCCATTGGGAACCACCAGCCACATAGACAGGAAACAGCCTTCATACACATCCTGTCATTTGGCATGGCTGCCCTGCCCCCTACCAATTACTCATATGTCGTCTCCCAATATAATTGCATGAGCAGGTACTCGGTGCTGGATCTCGCCGGTCGTGGAATGGTTGAACCTCTGGCCTGACTTTACCATGAAAAAACTTGTATCTACTGTAAAATTTGACCTGTTTCACATTACCCAGGACTTGGCTTCATGCACTCAGTCCCTAAATTCAGTTTTCCAATTCTTCTCTGAAAACTCCCTAAATTTTCCTTCAGTTAACCAAAACCTTTCAACCCAGGAATACACCAAAGAGTGAAGAAAAGTACTGGTATACACATTGGTATATCATATCATATCTAACATTCAACTGAACCCAATTGGAAACCAGAGAAAGGAGCAGCAACCTCTAAGCCTAGTCCCAGCCAATTGATTTCTCTTTGTTCTTGCTGATGTCATAAGTAGCCCACGTGCAT